ATGGCCACGGGAAAGCAAACGGCGGACAAGCATGGTTGCCGCAGTTCTGAAATCATGCCAATTGTCACAAATCTGCTCAAACCGCGTAAGCTGGCCGGTGAACACACCTGCAGGCCGATGAGACGGAATGTTTGACGTCGCACTAGGATATCGTATAACAGGAAAATCCCATGCAACTGTCTTGTCAAACACACTCAATCGGAGAGATCCATCCGCTCATGTCTGCAGTTTCACACCTAAAAAAGTGCAAGGGCCATCAGCCGCAGTGGTCTCCTTCCATTCAAGACCATAATAGGTTGGCGATGGTGGCAGACAACCAAAGGTAAGAACATCATCAATGAACCCATAAGTGAAAACATATCTGCGAGCTGCAGAGGGATCCACACGCTGCAGGTTGTCCACGTACCGCGCCTCATCCCAATAGAGTGTGAGGTTAGCAATCTCAGGACCAGCATTTGTACCCATGGGAATACCCACGTCTTGATGACGAACAAGGCCATCCGCTATATATAGATATGTATTAGTAACAATAAACCGAAGATGTTGAAGAATGTCAGACACAGAAAGAGTGTCAGATCCCGTATCCGTAGTCCATTCCCCTGCACGCGGTCCACGGACCACCATTCGAAGAGCAACACAGGATGGGCGTGTCCGTGTATGTTGCTGTGTCTGTGCAAGAGCATAGGCATGTGCCTCATCAACAGCCTTAGCAACATTGTCAAGAATCCGTTGATGAGAAAGATTAGTATACGTAGTAGTGAAATCTACCGTATGGGGGCCCAGACCTCGGAGAGAAGCTTTATTCTTTTTGAGATCAAGCATGACCGTGTCACTGCTCTGGACAATCCAACATCTACTAATACCTTCGGATTGGAAGAGTTTATTATCTTTTTCACGCAGTGACCATCCAACATCTACGAATACCTTCGGATTGGAAGAGTTGATTATCTTTTTCACGGAGAGGCCTCCTGACAAATCGGTGAAACTCCTCGGGAACAGTCTGTCACAGCCCCTCGTTTGTTATCCTCTTCTTCCTCTCTGCCTACGGTTCAGGCGGCAGGTCTCTTGATGACATATACACCCTCAAACACAACTGCCCAGTAAACGGTAGGCAGAGAGGGAGAAGAGGAAAACAAACGAGGGGCTGTGACAGACTGTTTCGGAGGAGTTTCACCGACTCATCAGGAGGCTGAACCCTTGTAGAACCCCCTAACCAATGATACACCGACTCATCAGGAGGCTGAACCATTTATAGTCTCCAGAGTCCCCTAACCAATGATACTGTAAGTGATACTCCACCTCAACCCCGGTTGTGGTTAACCATCAACTACTACCCGACAACTGATACCTTGAGGTGGTGGGGACCACCAACCACTGCCCTCAAGACACCAGTTGCGAAAATCAACGCAGATCTGGGATTGTCTTTTGTGTTGTTTTTGCCGTTGGTGGTGTTCCAGTATTTTAGTTTACACCAGCGAAGCATACGTCGAAACCATGACGGGTTGTCTATGCTGGCGAGCACGAATGGTTTGTTATCTGGGATTGCTTTTTTTGCAGGCAAGGGTGTGTGTTATGGCAGAATTTGTTTTGGTATTTTTGGCACCTTTGTTTGCATCCCGGTTGGTTTCGTCCCGTTGTTCGGCTTACGGTAGGGTATCCGTGGCGGTGATTTCATGTGGGACCTGTCATCCGGGCTCTTTTTCTTATCCTTTTGGCATGCTACGGTAGTTGGCTGTTTCCCGTTGTTCGGCCTGTGTGTAAGGAAAGGGGGGGTGCTTTTGTGTGGGAATCGTCATCTGGGATTGTCTTTTATGTTTTTCTTCGCAGGCAAGGGTGTTTTGATATCCTGGTTGGTCGTGTCCCGTCGTTTGGCCTGTGACGAAGGGGGCGGTGCTTGCATGTGGGACTTGTCATCTAGGATCTGTTTATGTTTGTTTCCCCCTGTTTTGTTATATTTGGCTGTTCCCTTCCTCTTTCTTTGCCTCTTTGCCTTTTGGCTGTTTGCAAGTGGGTCGATATGACACACGGGGGTGGGGGCAGCCACCGCTCAGCCTACATCCAGGTCGGCGGCCTTGTACGCAAGAGCTTCTTCTGAACAGGGGGAGTTGTACATGAGACAATAAAAAAACGAGTTGATTTCTCTCTTGTTTTCCTTTATCGTCAAACAGAGCTGCCCGGTAATGTCTATATGCATCGTCAAACCGAACTGCCCGGCAAACCGTCAACAGGGAGGGAGAAGACAAACTGTTTCGTCGGAGTTTCGCCGACTCATCAGGAGGCTGAGCCCTCAACAGTCTGCAGAATCCCCTAACTGGTTACACTGTAAGTGATAATCCACCTTAACCCCCGTTGTCGTCAAGCATCAACGACTGCCTGACAACTGATACTTCTCTGAGGTGGTGGGGACCACCAACCACTGCCCTCAAGGTACCTGTGACGAAAATCAAAGCAGACTATGACTCATCAGGGGGCTGAGCCCTCAACAGTCTGCAGAATCCCCTAACTGGTTACACTGTAAGTGATAATCCACCTTAACCCCCGTTGGGGTTAAGCATCAACGACTGCCTAACAACAAGTGATACTTCTCTGAGGTGGTGGGGACCACCAACCACTGCCCTCGATGTACCTGTGACGAAAATCAAAGCAGACTTTGACTCACCCACACGAGATGGAAAACTCCTCAGACTGTCGGTTCACACCCCATCACAAGCCAGCAAAACACCCACGAAACAAAGAAAGGTCTATCACAGCCACCAAATACACTCCAGACACGCCGCTGCCACTAGAGGCACAGCACGGCCGCGTAGTGACGGCCCCGACCACAGACGCTCAACCTGACCACAGAAAACCTTGGCAGGGTGCTATCGAAGTCGTGGTATACATCGCCAAACAAACAGAACTGCTCTATAGTTCCAATGATACCCCAGAAGGAAACTAAGGAGTCCACTGAAAACATACGTTTTTTTTTTTTTTTCTCTTTTGACGTGTCTCGATTTATGCGTGTCATCCTTGAAAACGCAGGGGCCATGCTAATCTTCATTCTCTGTATCGTTTCAATTTTAACGGATGTCCCGAAGGACACAGTGAAAGGTTTATTTGATCTTCGCCTGGGTTTATTTCATCTTTGCCTGGACATTTCCTTTTCAAGAAAGGCACAAAGACTACTCACGTGAAATGGCTCCAATGCTCGATGCACTGGCCCGAATCGATGAATCCAACTTAACATCGGCAGGTTCGAGAAACACACCCCTTGAAAAACGGCCCATAAACTCGGGTAAGTCCCACGTTTCACCATAGCCAGCATTGCCACTTTCGCAAGGAAAGACACCATGCTAACCAATCCGTTCTTCCCGAGGCTTGAAGGGTCACTACTCGTCGTCGTGCCCCAAATCCGCTTACCAAGACGCATGCTTTTCAAATTCGGACGATAATGAGGATGAGGATGACGATCGTTCCCGCCGCCGCCGGGGGGGGAGTCGGGGATCCTAGTCGACGGCGGGGATGGCGGCGGAAATGCTTCCCTTTGAGTCGAGGAGAATCGAACGTGTTGTTGCGAGGAGTATCCTCCACCAGCGTCCTTCGCTCCAAATTGATCACCGCCATCCTCAGCTCGCACATAATCACCACCATCGCTCTCTTCACCATCATAACGATGGTGGTTACGATAATGATGGTCGGTTCCTGTGCCAAGGCGATCGGCAGCCCCATCATCCATACCTCCGCCCCAGGTGTCACTGCCACCATCAACCTTATGGCTGGTCGATGACGAAGTGGAGGATAAGGGCGGCGGGGGAACAACTGTAGCTCTTCTTTTCTTCTTATACTTGAGCACTTTCTTCGTTGCCGTTTTACCTCCTCCTCCTCCTCCTCCTCCTCCTCCTCCCTCCTCTGTAAGACCAGCAGCGGTATGAACTGGCGCCACTCCCGAGTCGTTGCCGTCTGCAATGTGCACCGTCGGGTGCGCGGTGCTGTGGACGCCATAGGCCACATCAGCATTGTTGGTTCCGGGCTTTCCATCAATCACGAAGCTCGCGGCCATAACCAACCCCTTTCCCCGCCGACGATGGGGTGGGTGCTCCTTCCAGGACTCGTTCAAGCCGTAGCCATAGCCAGAGCAAGAGGAGGGAACGCAGCAGGAGCAAGAGGCGGCGGAGGAGGAGGAGGAGGACGACGACGGACAGGAAGAACAGGTGGACGATGAAGAGGAGGTGGAGGAGGAGCTGTCGCCCCTGCCCCAGACCCGCTCTCGCCATGGAGCCATTTCTTTCTCGCAATTGCTGACCGCCGCCGGTGCAGGGGCGGTCGGAGGCAGCTCTTCTGGCGCTGGTGCCACCGCCCCCGTGTCCGCCCGTCTCCTTCGGAACGCGCAGCCCAAAAGCGCGCGCCATCGCCCGCCTGCCTTGTTCTTTCGCTCCTCTCCTCTCTCTTCCCCCCCCCTCTCCCCCTTCTCTCCTTTCAGAGGATTTCTCGCAGAAAGCGATGCAGAAGAAGAGGAAGAAGAAGCCATCGCTAAAGATGACGTTGCGAACCCGGCGGCTTCCAACTTATCAACCATCGAGTATCCCGCTACGCAATCAACGGCGCGTCGCTTCACCCACCCGTCACGCCACGTGTCCATGGCATATGGATGAGGGCCCCCGTCTCCCGTGTCAGAATTTCCGTTGCCTCCAGCATAAAATGGGAGAAGCTCTCCTAAAACCACCAACTCCAAGTCGACGGAGGCTCCTCCTTTGGTCACCCATCCTCCCCCTTCTCTATATACCCCTTCAGCGCCAGTGGTGCGCGCATACCCCCCCCCCTCTTCCGCTCCTTTCCTGCCATTCCTGCCACCCTCCGTTTCACGACGATTGGGTAATATCTCTTCCGCCATGGCCGGGATTGCCCTACAAGCAATATGCGCCTCTTTAAGGACGCTCGCTGCAAGAGCGCCAGAACGGTTAGCACCATGTCTGTTCCCCGCATCCACGGAGCGAGTCGGCTCGCACCGCCCGAGACGTTCCTCACCCCTGTTGGACAACGAAAGAACCGTCATCGCGTGGGCAGCATTTATGGAGTGGCGACTCATCGGATTTCCTGCTATTACAGGCTCGTCAGCTGCCAGGTGGTGCTCCTTTTTGCCCATGGCGGCTAATTACGGACGCCAGTCGTGCGTCAATTCCTCACACAACAGACACCGCCGCTATCCGATTCGTTAAAATTTTGCATTCCTGGCCGGACGACGAGGGTCGATCATCCAATCCAATCCAATCCAATCCAATCCATCAACCGCGCAACCAGCCAACCGATCAATCATTCAATCGGACTCGAGTAGGCAACCAAGCGAAGCGATCATTCTTCCACTGCAAACCAGTCTCGACCAAATAGCCAACCACACGATCGTTCGCCTATCAATAGCCATCATCGTCGCCAAACGACGGGCCCCTTCGTTACCATTGGCAGCCGACACCTCTCCTCCTTTCCGCCATGGACCCGCATGGCCTCGCCAAACCTCCTCCCCTCCTACACCACCTTCACCAAGCCATATATAAATGATGACTTTGGGCATCGCTCCGCTACTCACCCAATGTGCGAAATGGGAACGGATATTCCGCTAGAACGTAGCAAGGCGTACCGCCATATTTTTTGTCTTTTGTGCATGTGGAGAGTAGCGGACCGAGGCCATTTGCCCTTCAAGAAGCCTACCTGTAACATGCGCGTTTCAAACTCCAACACCCCCCTGCGACGGACGCATGAACAAGACCTAAATCGTTAGTACAACATATCTTTTCCAGAAGGGGAAAAAATGAGAGCCGCACGCTTTTTATTGTTTTTTTCGCTCTTTCTTGTCTTTTTTTGTCAAAAAAAACATGGGAATTTTGTCTCAAATGCCCGTTTGCGTTTATTCGCGATTTGCCCCTCCGACGGCCGACTTACCCTGATTTGCCCCTGGCCCTCCAAACTCTCGTGCAGGCCCCTGTCAGTGAGGGCCACAACTTTTCGGAATGCCCCTACCAGACCGGCGGTGCTATTCCCCCTGCTGCCTGTCCGATTTGCCCTTCTGTGGGGGATGCATCTTCCCGAGATGCCCTCCAGCAGGGAGGCGCTAAGAATTTGAATTCGAACCCCATACTTTTCCAGGCCGCGCACAAAAAAAAGGGCTACGCTCCATGTCGTGTCCGTTGCTGCAATCCACCGTGTAGTGCATTCTTCAGCTACTGCAACCCGCTGCTGCCTTGGACTTCTGCGAAGTAGGTTGGCAAATGTCAGCGAGTCAGCGTTCCTCCCCTTGTTCCCCGCCCCTCTCTCTCTCTCTCTCTCTCTCTCTCTCTCTCTCTCTCTCTCTCTCTCTCTCTCTCTCTCTCTC